TGTATGTACAATTTTCAGTGAGATTAATATGCTTTAAATTAATTTTTATATACTTTTATTCTCATTAAACTCACTGTATACAATAATTTCTTTATATATATATTATTAGATATACATATTATAAAGTATATACCTATATACATGTATATATAAACCTATATATAAACAAATAACAATAATAAGCATTGCTTCTATCATTTACCTATTGACAATGTTTATATATATATATATATTCAGTTGACATTATGATATATATATTTTATGATGGATTAACAATATTGAAATAAATTTTTAATTAGCTGACTGAGGGCTGAACGTCCACAGGACATTATATTTAAGCGCATATATAAATAATAGAAAACAATAATAATTTATATACTTGTTAAATTTAATAGACCAATGGGATAATCCCATTTTGTAAATAATAATGTACAATTTAAATGCAACAGAAGAGGAAAGTCTGATCAGAATGAAAAGGAAACCTTGCCTCCACCACTACTCGAACTCAGCACCTTTTTCTTAACGTGCGAAGGTCTTACCAACTCACCACAGAGACCTGTGGTCGATATACATATTACAACATTATTATTATTATTATTCTCTTAACTTAATTGTATTTATATACTACTACACATCAAAGTATTTTAATTTATATTGATCTTAAACAACTTTTTTTATGACCATAATTATCTGACCATGGGGGTAACCCACAATTTTTTCATCACTTTTAATTTAAATAAACACATACTGTACCACGGTATACAATAAGAAATCCAGTCAAAAAATTAAATTAATTAAATTATGAGATTTTGAATATAGTAAATTAAAAATATTATTTAAATTTCATGAAAGTAATATCATCATAGTGTGAGCAAAACATTATTGCATATTCAATTATTATTATTATTATTATTATTTATATATATACTTATATACACATGCATATATACACATACACACTGTATATACATATACATATATATACCTGTTAGCAATAGCTGCTGACATTATGCTGTCTCTTATACACATCTAGATGTGCTGTCATAATGACCTCTGATGAAATAGTTCCTATCAAAAATTGAATTTTGTGAGCTTATGTATGATTTCGCTGTAAAACACGACCACTTACAAATTATTAAGATATTCTACGTATTTAACAGAAAAATGAAATTGAATGACCTTAAATGACCATCTGACCATGTCACAAGTGCTATAAATCATTGACTATGAAAATATATTTTTAGACATCATAATTCTTATTGGAAATAGTTTAAAAGTCGATATATTGATAAATATAGGTTTTGCGTGGCAGCCATTTTGAAATTCAAGATGGCCGCCAGAATGACCTCGAATGAAATATTGCAGTTCATATTAACATTTTTGAATTCTGAGAGCCTGGGTATGATTCTAATGTAAAAATTTGACAATTACGTAATTTTAAAGATACCATACAATATTTGACCTTGAATGACCTTAAATGATCCATTTGTGGCAATCTGATCAGGTCAAATATGATATGATGGTATTCCTTGATCATATAAACATACTCTTAGACATTAGAATTATAATTCAAAGTGATTTAGAAGCGGAGATATAGATAAACATAGGTTTTATAAGGCTACCATTTTGAAATCCAAGATGGCGGCCATAATGACCTCGGATGAGGTGGTTCCTACCAAAAATTGAATGCTATGACAATAAGGAGCATGTAAAAAAAATTGGTGCTTTTGTCCGGAAGGTCCACATTAAGTCCAAATGTGGCCCTAAGCTGCCGTACTAGATAGCCTAGATATTATTAAGACCAACCACCAGTTGAAACATCGCTCGCAGGCGTATTTTACGTATTCCATTTTTTAATAAGGTAAATTGCAATGTGTTATTACTTCTAATATAGAATTAGATAATTGGTACATCTGATTAACTCAACCACTCTGTTAGTGTTTTTGCCTTTTATATTTTTTGTTTCTTTCCCATCAGAAAGCAAATTGACTCATCCCTTAATAAAGCTGAATGAACAGTAAGATCAAGACTTGATTCGTATTTTCTAGGTTTCGTTCGTTAGCTTTTAATCAAAATTGGAACGATAAAATGTTTCTCACTAATTAAACTTGCGCGTGCATGCAACTAGTTCGGCTTTACACTCTGATACCTCTAGATGCCAGAAATGGCACTCTCAGACTTAACATTTTAATATAATTTTATTTTTTCTTTATTTTTAACAAACATTATGGAATTATGGAAGGGGTGGTTGGCCGGCCGTCTGGGCCCTCCTTGAGTCTGTCGGACAGGCCTGGACCCCCACCCCACCCCTGTCGTACAACGTCAAGGCGAGGTCGTCCAATCAAAAATGCAAAAAAATATATAATTTGCCTCTCCAAACAACGTTATTTTGATTGTGGTTTAAAAGTAAAATTTGAACCATTCTATCAACAATGCCTGAGTAATAATAATAATAATAACTTTGTTTCTCTTTTGTAACAGAGGCACAATCGCTAAAGAGATGTGCAACAATAATTCACAATATAAGAGTAATAATAACATATGTACATTTGTCTTGATATAGATATTTATTACTTAACTAATACACTGTCTAATTAATACTTTATCAGTATTTTGAATTTTTTACTTAACTAATAACGAAAAGAAATTATAATACGGATCCCAAGAAATGAAATACACGCCACCGCGCTCGACACCGTTCACGCCATTGCCAGGAATTCCTGAAGATGCGTGACCAATGCCGAAACTCAAGGGTGCGCATTTCATCTACCGGAGAATGCATTACAGTACTTTTTTTTCTGAATAAACTGAAAAGAAACATAAATAGGTGGTCGCGTTTCTATTAACGGAAAAATAATCAATTTTTTTAGCAATGTTGCGCGGACCAGATCAACATCTTTTGAGGGCCGGACTTGGCCCGCGGTCAGGGGGTTGAATACTGGAATATTATTATTTAAGATTAAAAGTAAGTTTTAAGTGACATTTGCAAATACGGATAGTGTTTTTGTGATCCGTGGGTACAACAAACAGAAAATGAGAGGTTCGAAAAATCGTTCAATTTTCCAAAAGGACTATATTTCACCTAGTCGTTTTTTGGTGATTATTCCACAGTATGGTCCGTGATGCCACAGAACACATTCGTATTATCAGTAGGTGCCACAGAACTCAAAACAACCAAAAAATTACAGGGTAGAAAAATTCGTCAATTACCCTTTAAAAAAAAAAAAAAAAAGGCTATTTATCACTTAGTAATAGGGTCGCGTTGGAGCCACATTAAATGCTATGAACACATTTTGTATGATCCGACTGTCAACATTTGTACTGTCAAGTTTGTCATACAGCGTCGATTGTTGTAAATGACGACCAAATGTTCTCTCATGAGGATGGTTAATTTAAATAACAATAATAGTAAGCATCAATCTAACAACTTTCAAACCTTTTCTGGTAGCAAAGTAAATTATATTTAAAAGAAAATTAACTAATAGAAACAAGTACAGTAAAAGATACAATCACTGCAGTATAAAAGTCTATATTCAATATTTATTCAATACATAATTGGATTAATATTGTAGTTAACAAGATTCTGGTCCCTAAACCGCCACAGAATCTGTATAAAATTCTGTTTGCACACCAATATTGGTGAATATCAAAACAAAAGTGTTTGAAAACAAATTTGTAGAAACAGCATCAATAACAGGCACTTTCCAATTTGCTGACATTCTTAATGATTTGCTTTATAAAACATCAAACCATTTTGGACACCTGTAATCAAACTTTTACATATTAGCTACCTTTGTTAGTAGATAGGAAAAATGATTAAGCTGGAAACAGCTATAAAAGTATTGCACATTGTATCTCTACCAGTGGCACTCAGATAAAACAGTATAAAAAACACACAAATATAGTAAAAAAAATACAAAATAACAAAATATATGGCCACTGCATTTAAAGTGAGCCCTATATTGTAGCACTATACTTTACATTGTACTACTGTACATATTGAATACCAGGGGAAGATCCAGGAAGGGGGTTGGGTAGATCTGGGGTAGGGAGATTCGATGTCAGCCAGGTTTTAAAAGTGAAAGAGAAAATGAAAATTGAACTCCAATTTAAGTTTGCAAGTACCATAGACATAAAATTTAATTCCTCAGGCTCACCCAATTGTGGGGCTGAGGTAGTCTGGGCCCGTCACCTATAAAATTCCCTCCCCAATTTAAAACCCTGGATCCACCACTGACTACCCTACTCATTAATACATTTTATAAACATATCCTTCTTTGGAACAATAATTATTGAAAATCGAAGTAGGAACATTAATAATATTTCTATTTCAATCTGCCATCATTAATGTTTCACTGCAAATTTAAAGCCAATTTTCTGGAATAGTAATTGGAACATAACAAGGTGTATTAATTATATAAAAACTTAAATGTGTACCAATATATAATGGTATCATGTTTCATGTTACCAACTCTATGATAACATCAGATTATGTTCTAGTGACCTTGAGCTAGCCTCTATTTATATTCCAATAATTCTAAGAAACATTCATTAGTTTTTATTAAACAAATGCATTACGCAAATAACAGGCGAGGTTAATAGTCCTTGAAGTAGGATTCTTAAACTAGATGAAGAAATATATGCCAAGTTACTTTAAAAATAATGGAATTGACATAATATAGTAACAGATGATTCCTCTAATTTTATACTACGTTCCACAAAGGTAAACTCGGCATACATGGGGCTTGTGATGCCAAAACCAGCATCACTGACTAAAAACCAAAATTGACTTTTCAATATATATTCATATTCCCCACATTATAAGTTTTATAATGATGGGTCATTTACTAGAATTGACTTACTATTGCCAAAGTTATGAGTAAAAGTATTACAACTTCTCTGTACTAAAGTGTACAATACTGTCACATTCTTATGCAAATTACTCAGTTTAATATTTAGTGACAGTACGCTGGTTTTTGGGACGGCAAGCCTCATATAATGAACAGATGATTACCATACCTTTGCGGAACGTTCCAAAAAAAGGTAAACTTGGCATATATAATATTAATTTAAAATATAAATAACATGGAATTATAAAAGTATATAAAACATGTTGTGTATATTAATTTGCTGATCTATACACCCATGAAAAAAAAAATATGGTAGATATTTTTATATGGAATGTCATTTTTGTATGTAATGTGATAATGGAACACATACAGAAACAAATCGCAGTTTTATAATACTATTAAGTACTAAACATAAGGTAAAAAAAATATAACGATTTGTTGCCAAAGCTTGCTTGACCCAAAAATCTTAAAAATATAGGGCTGGATAATTTATTTTGGGTATTTTTTTTTTTACAAAAGGGGCTCAAAATGCAGTGTATGACATAAAAAAACACTTTCAAAGTACAAAGTAATAAGTTAGAATCACTAACCATGGATTTTATCTCTGTGGTTATCATTTTACCAAAAAAAAATTGTATAGGTTGAGTAAGCAGCCTATTAGGCCTAGTCATAGTTAAAAATACATTTTCCAAAACAACTCACCCAGACTTCCAAATGTCATTACAGTACTTAATTGGTACTTGGTATCTGCAAATTCCATTGAATAACACAACAGAATTTTGTTTGGACTAACAAAACAGATACAATGACTTAACCATTATTATGAGAAGTTTGTCTATCTTATAAATAATGCTACAAATTAGTCTACACATAACAAAACACAATATCTTTGATAGCATTTTGATAATTAAAAGCTTCACAAGAAAGTAGAATAAGTCAACCTGACCAGTCAGGCACAACATTATTGGGGATGCAACTACTAGATTTTCTATTAAAAACCAACTAGCTTCAAAATAAATCAAGTTATATGTGGTTTGAACAGGCAATAAAGACAATATCAGAATGTAGGGTTCGATCATTAAGATTCACACATGTATTAATAGTTCTAATAATAGCACTACAATCATAATATACAAGCTAAGTTCAACACAGTAGCCTAATACAAAAAACGGCTTATATGGCATAGATACTCTATCTTTATTTTATCTATACAATGACTGTTGGAATGGTGGCATATAAATTAAATGACACACTGATTGATTGATTGATATCTGTTCTCATGTTTAGAAACTGCAGGTAGGTAAATATTTATTTATGTATTTATTGGTTAATTATTAAATGTGTAAAACCTAAATGGGTTTTAATGTAAATCCTTAAATTTGCTCCATTCTTGACAAGCTATATTTAAGTTAATTTTTTAATGAATATGGTCTTGCTAACAAGCACTACACTATTTGGTGGAATAATTGAGGGTTAAATGTCTATCCAATATGGCTGTTTTATTTTTTTAAACAAAAATAGATTATGTAAATAATACCAAGACAAGACAGTATATATATAATAATAATAATATATTATATAATAATAGCAAAATTCGAAAACTGCAAGGTATGTATAATTTAAAAATAATACTTAATGAAGGAAAAAAAGAATACATTTTGATGTATATAAATATTTAGAGTAGAATCTCTTCCTACTTAAATAAGTCGTGTGTTCTTAAGCGAGTGTATAAGTGTTCTATATACAAACTGGTATTGACCAACCGTTTGTATCATAAACATCCGTTGCTGGCGAATCAGGTTTAGCATTTTGGCAATGTTGATTTCCTATATGTAAAAAGAAAAATAAACATTTTAAAATATTATAAACAAATCAGATAAAAACTTTTATTAGATATTTTCGTGAGTTTTTGATATAATATTTTTGAATGTACATATCTATTTTTCTTAAATATTATATCTCCAGGGCAAGTCGATTGGCAAACCGGTGAAGGCATGTCAACAATACATCATTACTAAAATGATTGCATCAGAAGCTAAGTGTTTGGCCAAGAGGTAATGTTCCTGCTTCTTGCCCAGTTCAAGCCCAACCAGCGATGGCTTTCAATTGCTATGCTCTTTGAAAAAAACCGTCGCATGAGAGTTAGGCAATAAGGGACAATGTATACGTTATATCTCAGTACTCACACTGCACTAGGGGCCAAGCCGAAACTTCCAATTTTAAATATTTGGAATAGAACAAAAACGTAAAAATTTAATTTAATTTGAATAAAATTTATAAATTAAACTGTGTTGAATCATCCTATAAACTCCTTTTAAATGGAAGATAAGCTAAGAAGCGCAAGACACAATATGCAAATGAGTACTAACTTCATTATGCTCCAGACTGTTGATCATGGCATCGGTCAGGATAAGAACACCGGTCCTTCCAACACCAGCAACACAGTGAACCAATACAGGCGATGCTACAGGCTTCTCATGGAGACCGTTGGCATGGCGACAAACTGACTGGAACTCCTCAATGAAAGCTATAAAATAGAAACAGATTTTTTAAAAATATAAATAAATATCATCAAATTCTTTTGATATAAATGGATTAAATATTTTCTTTTAATATTATATAATGTAATTGGTGTGCAGGGGTCTCAAGGAACTTGTGGGCTGGCAAGCAAGCAAGAACCTTCAGAAAAATAACACATCTCCCCGAAATATTTGCAGGTTTTCACTGCTTTATAATCAATTGTCTCATAAAATTCAGTGTCAATGGGTATCATTATGTGCAGCAAAATTAAATTAGATGTTTTAAGAAAACTAATTTAACCAGATCTTCTGGAAATTAATTTTTTCCAACTTGGGACCTCTGTGTGTACTTGTGGAAAGAACTATAAAAAGGCATATGCAAAAAAGTAAGACAACTTACTGAAGAAGCCATAGACGTCGAGCGGACAGCCTTGGTTTGGCCAGTCTGTGTACTGGAGATGCCATACTGTTCTTTGCTCACCAGATGGAATGTGCCGGATTGTTAGACCACTTGTTATATAGCAACCAGAATCATTGCTAAATTGTCCGATTATCTTGAACTATGTATTGGGAAAAGAAATTAAATAAATTGATATGTAAGGCACTCAATTACAAAGTATAAAAACCTCTTTGAACATAATGTGACCGGTAATGAACCAAAAATCACAAAAACAGTTGTAAGAATGAAGACTTAGCGATGCACCAAATGGTCACTCTCTATATTAAGTCTCTAAACTCAGACTGAATTGAACATTGAATATGATGTACTTACAGGTCCAAACTCAACCATGTTGTTGGGTGTGTTGAAGTTAGGCCAATAAGGATGGCACTTTGGTTTCCCTTCTTCCTGTAAGTGTAGAAATAGTTTGAAATGTTCAAAAATAATAATTGACTATTCATTGCCATCAACACTACCATCACCATCATCTTCTTGTAATATCAATCAAAGTCAACACTGCAACCATCACCATCATTGTCACTATTATCATCATCATCATCATTGTTATGGTTATACTTGTCAAATCAACATCACTATTCTCATTGTTATCACTACCATTATCACCATCTTATTATCATCATTGCCATCTCCATCATTATCACTACCTCCACAAATATCATTTACAGTCAAAGCCACCACTGCCACCATCATCAGCATCATATTAATCATCCTTATTGATGTAATTATCATTACCAGAATCACCACACTCATTCTTACCTACACCAACATCACCCACATTACCCACCACGCACCAATACCATCACTGTGCATCATCAACACCACCATCAATATGCACCAACAACCACCATCATGCATCACCATGTACCATCACCACCACACACTACCCCCATCACCACTACCGCCTACTATCACTTTCTATACCAACCTCAAGAGCTGTCAACATGACAATGACTTGGACTTCTTGTTCCCAAATCATCCTCCACCAGTCTTTAACAGTGTTCTCCATTGGTGCTTGAGATGCAATGTAGTGCACAATTTCGCCAGCAATGGGTACACGTATATGTGAGGCATTGATGTACCCTGTGCTGTTGTCTACCATTGTAGCCAGCTTAACCCGAGTATCCTGCAATTAATCATATCAATTTGGGGTTAATTAAACAAGAATCAGACATCTTTAGATAGAAACAATAATTAAATGATAAGCTTCGCTGCACTCTAGTCTAAACTTCTGCAAAACAGCTGCATATAACAGGACTTTGTAATGATTGCAATCACGGTGATAATTAGTGTGATCAGAATACCAAATGGTTATGATTCACATAGTGGTGATTGTGATCAATATGGCAATGACTGTGATCACGTGCAAGTATGATGGTTTTATTTGATCAGGATGCCAACACCTGTGATCCAAATGGTTGTTGTGTTGATGACAATGATCTAACCTCATATGGAAGTACATCCGGGAACAGATTCCTGCCTTCATTATCCGGCAGTTGAGCTGTATAGTATGATGCATTTGGTTTACGTCTGGCAATTTTCTCATACTCTGTAAATACTTGTCCTTCTGTGATCTGATTTTCCAAGATCTTGCGCTAAAAATTAAAGATATTCAAACCCAGTTAATATTTAAAAAGACATATAATTATTACAATTTAAAAAAGAATTTATATGTGATACTGTTAAAGATTTCTCAACCTATAACTACATGAAATAAAGAAAACACAAAATTAATTTTTATATTATTTCTATTTATGAACTGGGAATAGGAGAAATAATGGTAGTAAAAGCATTTCATTGCTTCATTTTTAAAGTATGTATAGGAAGTTGCAAACATACCCTTGCATCCCTTGGGTGCTTTGAATGCGTGGAGGCATCATCATTTGTCTTTCCTGGACGGATGAGTGTCAAACCGTTCATCGCTGCCAACTTGAGGGGTCCTATTATATCCTCATCCTCATCTTTTTCTTTACAAGGTCCTTCTGAGTCAGAATCTGTTGTACCACTTCCGGTAGTAGTTACTGAACTTACACTCATATGACTCGGGCTTAGCGGAGGTTGGTTTGAAACTGGAGACATAGTTACAGATGAATCTGACGTTACTTGTTCGTACATTGGCATGGAAGCACCAAAATGCGTTTCCTGCAACGTATCGGGTGCGGATAATGTTCTTGGCCGTGATTGTACGATATTTGTTTCATGATAATTTTGCAGTGCGAACTGAGATGTATTTAGCTCTTGCATTTCAGCACTTCTTTCTAACTGCTTTGGAGAAAATTGTCTGGGAGACAAAGGGCTTGTGGGAGATCTGTGTTCCTCTGGAATATAACCATTCTGAGTGAAGAACACCTCTCCACTGGACACACCTGGCACATGCTTATATGCCGGTGGAGGGCTATAAATAATATTAGGCGAGTCCATATCACTGGTATCAGCAAAATCGCTCGGCGGTCGCACAACATGATGCGAATGGGGTATATGATTGTCTCGTAAAGCAGGGTCTGATTGATAAATTTGAAGGGGAACTAACTGAGGATCAGGGTTCGAAAAATTTAGATACCCAGGCCTCATGTGCAAGGGCGATAGACCGTTATAGTAATTCAGATGCTGTTGTTCATGACGCCTTAATGGGTGCATTACAGGAGGGCTGATGTTGCTATTTAGGTGCAAGTTGGAAAACCCTTCAACAGGTAGCGACTGTGACAAATCCACATTACTAACATGCACTACGTTGCCACTGGATGAGTTAGTGGTCGCTATATTATCCGTGACCTCCTGCACTGGCTCAATCGAAGAGCGCAATCGTCTGCTTACCAAATCCGGACTGCTGTGACTTACTGAGAAGCTGGAATGTCTGGCAAGGTCCGGAGTACTGGTGCTTCCTCGTGGATAAGGCGGTGGAGGTTTGAATTTATTTTTCAACAGTTTTTCTGTTACGTATTCCTCAGCTGAATGGTACTGTTTGCTTAATTCCGGTGTACTATAAGTCAACATCATTTGATTATACAGGTTTTGATTCACCGAAGGATATTGTAGCGACTCCGATGATGTATCAATTACACTACTTGATATATTTGTGTTAGGATTGCTGTAACTAAGTGTCATTTGCCTGGGACCCGATCCATTCATTGCAGCACCATAGACACTATTCGGTTCGTAATATAATCCATTATGGTAAACATGGCCAACACCGAGGTTTCCCAGACTCTGGCTATGCTCGCCAACCTCCGCAAGCTTTTGCTTTGCACGTAAGACAGTGTTATAATCGGGACTTGCTCTGTAGGCCGGAAGCGGGGACAAGGCGGTCCGCGGCTCGTTACTTGCCACACTCAAGTTTGATGACATTGGTGATATGTGCAACTGCATTCCTTGATTTAAAGAGTTTATACTATGCGCATGATTGGACAAGCCATTCTCAATTAACAAAACATTTCCATGGTTATTAATATGATCCACCTTGGATCCATCAGCGAAATGAATAATTTCTGGATTTGGTGATGATGGTGAAGGCAAACCATCTGTATCATTTACACTTTCTGTAAGAAAAAAGGAACAACCATGTTCAGATGATAAAACTTTCATTATTGATATAATATTTAACGACCATTGTTCATTGTGTGGAACTGAATAGTTTGGTGGTTAAGATGCTTGCCTTCCAATCCCAGGGTCCTGGGTTCAATTCCTGTTAGTGTTGCAGGATTTTTCTCACGACCAAAACATCTCCACTCTCTAATCCTCACATTCAGATTTAGTTTGTGTAAAGGATTATGGGTGTATGTGTGTCTAGTGGAAGGTATTGTCACCTAATCTTAGGAGGACAGTGATATATTTGCTAATTAGTAATCCTTGGTGCATGTGTGTGCGCCTAAATAAATGAAATAAAAACAATTCAATGAAATATTTTGGTTCTTAGTACAGTAACCAAAATAAATGTGTGGGCCAGGGGTTGGAATCCGAAGGCAAACTTCTTGACAAAATCTTAATAAATATTTTTAATGAAGAAATGGTTTGTAATATCCTTAACACATTATCAATTTTTAAGTGTCACTTAAAATCATATTAATTAAGTCTACATACATCCATCTCTACCTGTAAAAATGCAATCATCCTGAGCATATGTGTACTTAGTTGGCACCTACTGTACTGGTTCTTATTATAATTGGAACTTTGAAATAAAATATTGCTTACTACAGTATACTTCCAACGAAAGCAATATTTTATTTCAAAGCTATATTTTATTTCAGAGTTCTAATTAAAATAAGAACTAACAAAAATTATGAACATTGGAATATTATCAAATATTTTATGACATTTAGAGTGCTATTTTAAGACTGCAACTATCAATTTTGCTGGCTATCTATCAAGCTTACCTGAAGTTGACAGTTGTTTTTGGGGTCTCTTCGTTATCACATGGTTTTGCGTATCAGCATGGTGTCTGTTGACTAGCGTCGGTCTTCGCTCAATGGACGATGTAGCTGGAGATTTTGTGAGGCCTCGCGTTGGACCATCCAGCGACACTTCATTCCTATTTTGTCTAATAAAATAAAAACACATTTATAATATTTTTTTTAAAGTATGTAAATTATTAGGACACCTCAAATAGTCTTTAGCTTATTTTTTTAAATATCATAATTTAAAAATAAATGCATAACAATATTCATTATTAATAGCACTGGCATTTATTTTGCAACATAGGTTTATATAACTATGAAATTTTAATTTCCTACTTGAATTATGTTTATTGGCAATTAACAAGCAATAATGTATGATCATAAAACGCTACACCATTATGTATTATGTTTCAATATATGCATGCTACTTAATAATATACCAATAAATATGTAAGCGTCATATGTAATATCGGTTTTCCTTTTCACCTAATATAACGCTACTGTAGTTTTAAAATTCCCTTTTGTTGTACCCCTTCAAATGGTACGAGTGAACAAACTTGTTATCATTTGAAAGAGATTTGAGGTAAATATTTGACATTCTTGGCCCTGATTCAACTAATAATCTAATGGAGTCAATAGGGTTCATAAAGGTTGAGCTTTACAATAATCTACACTTATCCAGAAATGGATACATATTTACTAATTATTTACTTAAATAATTAATCATTTATATATTCAGGTTTATTTATTCACAAAAATATATAAAATCACTTATCACAATTATATAAACATAAATCACTTTTTTTGCAGCAAGAGAGCTGAATTGAGAGCAAAGTTATTAGAAAAACATTGACTTAAAAAATACTGTATAATTTTGTTTGAAAATGAATGAAATATTTACATATTGAGAATTGAATTACATTACATTACATTTATTTGTAACCTATTATCATTTTTAAGTCTCAAATTAAACTCCTTAAATCTGATAGAAGTAATGTAATTAACTAAAACGTGTAATTAAAAATTTTGCTACATAACTTGTTAGTATAACTAATTTAGTATAACTAATTATAACGATGCTAGAAGTCTTGAAACTTTATTTTTTTGGATTCTTTGCTGAATTTATAGCGGTTACAGATACAAATTCATTTTATTGTGGAGATTATGCAAATTACATATCTCAAATATTAAAAAAGCATGTTAGAAATAATATATATGACAGAAGTTCACGCAAGTCAAGAACCTGGTGTTGCAATTACTATTTTGAGTACTGTACTCCCTAGAGTAGAAACGTGTTTAACACAGTGCATAATTCTACACACCCCAGGGGTAATAAAATGGTAAGTAGTGTGGGCTACATGAACTCTATGTGACCATGCCAATAGTGATATTATTTTACTTGGTATATTTTTACTACTTCATAAAAAAACCCAAAAGTCTGAAATTAATACAGCCTTTGACAATGGAATTTCAAGGGGAAAAAAAATAAAGTGAAAGAACCCAATTATAAACTTAGCAACAGGAATGTACAGAATTTCTCATAGAGGTGTTACTGTAAATTGATTGTAATTAAATTAATCAAAGTATGTAAATAAATCATTCTTTGGATAAAAGCTGAGACTGAAAAAAAAACATCAAATAAAACA